GTTATGAATGAAAATGTACAGAGGTCCCAATGTGCACTCACCCTGAACAGCAATGGTAAGGCCAAGACTGAGGAGAATGAAGGAATTGACACCCATGATGCCTAGATATAACATAACAAATATAAAAAGAGGGGAAACATCCATTATAAAACAGCGTTGACAGTGATGATTAGCTCTTCCCAGGTTGGTCTGTAAAGGTAACCTTGTTAACACCATCCATTTTTGTAACTGCTTATTCCCTAATGGGGTCGCATGGGAACTGGAGCCTATCCAAGTGGTCAATGAGCGGGAGGTGGGGTTCAACCTGGACAGTCCGCCAGTCCAACGCAGGGCCACACAGAGACACGCAAGGACAAACAACCACACATACTCACTCCTAAGGAATTTGGAATGTCCAGTTGAGCTAACATGCAGGTTTTTTGGACGGTTGAAAGAAGCTGTAGAATCCACACAGGTACAGGGAGAACATGCAAACTCCACACAGAAAGTTCCTGGTTCCCCCGGGGACTTAAACCCAGAACCCTCTTGCTGTGAGGCGATGGTGCTGACCACCACACCACCGTGCCGCCCCCTTGTTGAAAATATAAATCGATGAAAATGTATTGGAGAGAAAGAAAAATATCCTGTTTCAAAACTTCAGACTGAAACTCGATAACATTTTTAATTGCTTTGAATCTGTCACAAACCACACCATACTCCTTTCACCTGCAGTCCCGATTACCAAACGAACATAAAATAAAACACACAACAGATCTATTTATCGACTTTATTCTTCAGATTCGCCAACTGTTTCAGAGAATCAGTTTGGCTATCATAAATAGCCCCCTAAAGTTAAAAAAAACTGCGACATTCCGGTCATTTCTGAACAAGTTAAACACTTTGCTGTAAGCTCGCTTTAGCAACAATGGGTGAGAATGTGTCACAAGAATAACTGCAGGTAATCCTAAACGACCCTAAACATGAACAGGATCTATGCCGAAATAAATGATAGCTCCCGTTAATGGCCGACAGATACCAATTTATATCATACGTCTGTATGAATGTGCTAAAAGCTGATACACGCTCAATTCAAACAAATCGCTTCAGTCAGTTGGCACATGAAACACGATCAAAGCAAACAAAATATACCCGTAGCAGTGAATGTGAACTTAATGCAAATTAGAGAGAACTTTATGCATAGATATAAATTCAGTTTCACTCACATGTTCCCAGGAAGCACACACCTTAAGAAGTGAAAGAAAGGCCCAGACTGAGAAGAATGGAGAAAGTCACACTCAAGGCAGGTCCATACATGTCGTTTGTGGCATTGAAAATAATCCAGGTAGACATTTAATTTTCCAAAGTAACTTCTCTGATTACTCAAATAGACAAACAGGTATAAAAGATCGGGCAAAAGCTAAACATTTTAAGATGCTTTGTGCGTGTATGCAGAACTGTTCTTTATTTATTTAGTTTTTTATTTAGTTTTTAATTCAGGACTTTCACTTAGTCAGATATGACAATCCTTATGACCAAGGAACCTTTGTAAATTTCACATAGTTTATTTGAGCTTCGCCATAGACTGAGAACTCCATCAGTTTAAGAACACATTATTAAATGTCAAATTCCACCATAAATCCTTTTAACTGTCCAAAATTGTTCAGGTTTAATCTACTGAAAACATAAACTCACGATAAATTAAGCTTTAAGCCTGCTTTTGTCATTGAACTACAATACTATTTTCATACGTAACCGTTTTTAAAAAGTCCTCCTATTTGCTTATTTGTTTTTTAAATTATTTTGTTTTATCCTGGTTAAACTTGAATACATTTTCAATTCCTGCAGTTCAGAGGACATAGCAGTTATACCTGGACATTATGAGCCTGAAACAGTAAACAAACCCTGCAGAAAGCTGACTCTGCTGTCTATTGGCAATGGCCCAAGTGCGTCAAAGGCTCCATTACTTTTCTGTGGAAAGATATCAGTTAAACGTGCTCCCATATCATTTTTCAAAAAGAATTAAAAAAGCAAGGTCTCACATTAGGAGGCCCGATGCCTGTTTTCAAGGTATAAATTGAAAATCAACCATTTGTCCACAATGCTTCACATCAAAGAAAAATCACCCCCCCCCCATGACAGCTTTGCTATGGTCTAAAATTTTCTGAGGACATATCACTAAAACTGGTGTCTTAAAGGCACAGAGATCAACGTTTTAAAAAAGCTAACAACTAACAACTGCTACAGAAGAGACTTGATTAAATATCACAAAGGAGGAAATTACCTTTGGTTCCAGATCATTACCTGAGATCATTAGCTGATAGATATATCAAACCAAACAATTCACGAGAAACTGTCTGACTGACATTTTGATAATGGTTCATTTCAATTAGTTTAATTGCAAATACTGCCATGACAAGAAACTAATTAACTTAAGAATAGTTAGTTATTCATCAGCCTTCCTTTCTTATGGTGACTGCTCTTAACATTTAGCACCGCATTCACTGTCAAACAGTTATGGCAACCATAAAGATAGATAAATCCCAGCACTATTGCGGGAAGATGTAGCAATCCTTAGAAAGTGAGTTTTTAACCAAGGTCAGCACAGTTAGTGACTAGTTTAGCTTCCCATTGTATGTCTATATCATTTCCCCAGAGGAACGTAGAAATAACTGCTATTATAATATCAGGTTTGTAAAGCTGAAAGGTTAGTAGACATCCACAGCCAAAGTGCTGGTACTCAAGATAAACTAAACCTGAAAGGACACACAGTTACATAGCTTGTGTCATCTATGTGAAATCAGTACAGTGAGTCATTCCATTCTTTAAATATATGATTTTTTTTTTTTTTGGTAGCCACACGTGCCTGTCACAAGCATTCCGTCGGCAACAATGCAGCTCAGCAAAAACGGCATTCTTCAGGGGTGACAAAACAGGCCATACCCAGGCTGAGTCAATATGGTTGAGGGATTTTTTTTTCCCATTGAGCAACAAACTCTTGATCTTTATCAGAAGTGTTTATCCACCATGGATCCACCCAGCCCCCGATTTATACAGCAAACCACCAGGAAAAGAGAGAAAGAAAAGATTCTGGAGCATTTAACCCCCGTGTATGGATGAATTTAGAGCCTAACTTAGCTGTCTTAATCTGGTGCTGAACACATTTTTCAGGCAGCCCTTGGAATTTTAATCAAGCAAACTACATGTTTCAAGCCATAGATCACGCAAACACTAACTCATTGTTTCTCTGAAAGTGCACAAGATATTTGTATTTCCTTATATTTTGTAACTGATCCGAACGCGTCACCACAGAGTATCGGAGCTGTACAAACCTGTCATTTATAAAAAACCTATAACAGCAAACCTGCGTCTAAGTTAGTGGCTGAATATGATAGCTTTGTTGTTTTGGTCAATGTCCAAAGCCCTGTGATGCACTCCTAGTTTTATAATCCTGTGAGTCCCGTGTTTCGATAGACGAGTTGCAAAAAAACAGTCAACACTTTTTAAAGAAAAACCTATTTAATTGTTCTGTGAAAACTTTGTCCACAGTCGCAAAGTTACAAAATTCATCGTCACAAAGCAAAACCTCATGTCTTGTTTTCGTCGTTGGCCGTGTTCAGCGTCTTTGATTGCGGGATATGTGCTTAAATATAGATTATGTGCGAAAAGCAGCTGCGTGTGACACACAAAGAGGCTGGCATGAGGGGATCATCATGAGGCGGTGTAAAAATAATAACTCAGTAACTGTGTCAGAATGGCTCATAACGTCCGGAGAGTGACCTCATTAGAGCACAGGGCACTATAAAATGTGCCTGTAAACTTCTTTCCATTGTTGTTCTGCGGCTCGGGGGCTGTTTTTGTACACTTGGTGACGGCGTACAGAGTGACCAGCAGGGAGGCAAAAGCCCCCCAACGCAGGGCCTCGTACCAGAGGGGCAACCCGGTCCGTGTCCTTAAAAAAAAAGCCCCAAGAACAAACAAAAAGGGAAAAGTCAGGCTTCACTCACGGTCTCTTACTAGCGTGGCGTTATTTCTGCGTGAGAATGTGAGAGACGCACTCGCTCTGACCTGTTGGGAAAGGCCTCTCGGACGGTTTCATTGACTCTGGCGTGGGTTGTCATGGCAGCTTTGCAGGTTGTCATGGGCAGAGGTCTGGCTGGCGCTGTGCTCATTCTGTCGGCACAGTCATAAACCGGCTGGCCTGGTGATTCAAAAGGAAGTCATTGCATCTCTTATCTATCATGCATTTGTGTTTAGGACGGTGACAATTTCACAATTTCGCAATTGTTCGTAGGAAGTATCCTGTTTAAAGCTCTTTTTTGGCACACACAAACACACACTCTATCCATTGTCTACGAAGCTTATTGCTTGTAGGTTCGCAGGAGGTTGTTTTTGCCTGCCTTCACTTCTCTTCTGTAATATTTCCTGATAAGTTCCTGTCCCAGTAGCTGTGTTTTCTTTCTCATCCTGCTCTCAATTCCACGTATCTCTCTCCCCACACAGACCTCTGTTCCATTCATTTATTGTCACTTTCCCTTAGTGTTGTCAGGTATTTCTTGGTTTTGCTTTTTTCTCGGTAATTGGAAGGTTTGAATTTAGTCGTAGTTTTTTTTTTGTCCAGTTCTGCCGTGTTCTTTTTGGTTTCTATTACCAAAAACAAAAATAACAACAGACCTCAGTTGTTGTTTTTTTTCTGGCCCTTCGCTTGGATTGTCACCCCCAAGCAAAACCATGACCTGTCTTTTGTTCAAAAAGCCATACTGTATGAAAAATGAGTGAAAAGTAACATTAATGTTTAAAATAAAACAAAACCGTCCTGGTTAAAATACAGATTTTTTTTTAAAGAGTAATATTGTTGAACATGACCACTAGGAGGCGCCAAATAAAAAAAAACATACACAAAAAGTCTTTAAGCAGAAAGAAAATGCTCATAGCAATTCATGAAGATTTGTTAAATGACATAAAACATCATATGATGTGTGTGTTATTTTACTTAACTTTAAGAAGTAATATAAAATCCCTTATATCCGAAACTTGAAAAGAAAAAGTTTCGAAATAGTGTGGGCACAAGTGAACACAGCCACTCCCATAAGAACAATGAAACACTCACGTTTCATGTTTCTGCAGAGGTAAATTATTCAGGGCACAGCCCTCAGATTACTAAGGATAATTTGATTCCTCTTCCTGTTTCCTTTGCTCTTTCACAATGGGAATACTCTCACAGCTAAATCAGAGGCATGGTCAGTTAACTCTTTTAGATCTGACTCTCACGACCAGACAAAGGTTTTTTCAGGTCAATGCACCGCCTACACTTTAAACCCACAAGAGTGAGCTCTCACATCTGACATTATGGGATGGCAAAACAACGCTTTATCGCTGCGGTGGAACAACAGCCAACATGGTTTATTTCATATTGTTAAACCAAATTAGGAAAAAATAGTATTTTGTACTATATACTTTTCAAAAGCCAACATCACACTGTAGAAATGTATGAGAATGTTTAGGATATGTACAGTATACGGGTAGATAGATAGATAGATAGATAGATAGATAGATAGATAGATAGATAG